AGACAGATGAAGAGAAAGGGAATTCCTGCAGTAGGAAACAGCAGCACTAAATGCCTACGAATGGAAAAGAACTATTTATTTATTTGTTTGTTTGTTTTTTTTGGAAGGAGTGAACAGGGCCCTGTATCCCAACAGTTATCTATGAGGTTGAAGCTAGAGGTCACATTTTGACTTCCAGTATGAATCTAAGAATGTTGACTATTAATCATCAAAAGAATATGTCTTTCTAAAGTAGGAAAATATCCTTGGTATAACTTGTGAATATAGCCAATGTAACTACCACACTGGTAGGGTGTGTAAGGGATGAATTAACACATGAGAATTTATTATTATTAGTAGTAGTAGTTGTAGCAGTAGTAAGAGTAGTATAGTGTCTGAAACACAATGCTTAATAAGTGTCTCTTGATGGTGTGGCAACTATTTGAGAAATCAAAGGAAGCTGGAGCTCTTTTTCTGTCATTTACAGATATTTTCCCCCTCCCCCCTTCTCCCCCTCCTCCATGGGGTGAATCAGTGTGAGAGTTTAGATGGTCTGTCCCTTTCCTAGTCATAGTTTTCACTACAAGTTTTGAAGTCAATGGAGGCCTCACCTCCTGGGGAAAAATTAGCATCTCCTAGTATTGTCCTGCCAAGGTTACACCAAAGCAAGCAAAAAGGAAGGAACCAGTCTCCTCTTCTTCCAGCTCTGTGGTTTTCCTCTCTTGCCCCCTAGTGGTCAAGTTCAGCAGAGCCTGCGGCAGAGAACCAATGGGGATTCCTGGGCACCAGAGGCCAGCTTCTCAAAGTTCAGTACAGAATGGAGAAATAATCACAATCTGTGCCCAGGGCAGTTTATTCTGCAACCCATGGTTTCCAGCACAGGCATTGTTAGTCTGAGGAATCTTCCCACCCCATTCTATATTCTTAGTTTCTTAATTATATTGTCTCCTCCTGGCGGGGGGAGGGGGTAGGTCAGGGTTGGATTCATACTTCAGTGTTTAACTGATGAGCATGTGACTATAAGTAACAGTAGTTAGCCTCTTTTAGTTTGACTTACTCATCTACAAAACCGAGTTCACAAAAATCTGTTTTGCAGGATCGATGCTAGTATTAAACAAAACTACATTCCTTGCAAGTTAATTTAGCCTGTGGCACAGGATGGGGCCCATTTTTCGATATCAGGATAATCAGAAGTGGTTTACTTTGACCTGGTTATGGGTCTAAGCATTTCCACAGGACTGTCAGTCCTGTGCTGTCTTGAGCTTTCATACAACATTCAATCATCCTGCTGCCTGGATGACATCATATTGATTACATCAGCTTAATAGGGAGCAGCAGGTACTTCAGATGCCTCAGAATGTGTGAACTTCAGGATAAAGATAAACCTTGCAAGAACTAAGGCATTCATGAAGTAACATTTTGGGAAGTACAATTGTCTAGAATAGGATAAAATATTTTCCAAGATGAAAGTAAAATTCCTGTAGTGGAACTAACATTAACTTTTTAAAAAGCCCAACTTTTGATTAGCTTTTTGTGATTTTTAGACTCAAATGAATACTATATTTGAGTGTGCTTTTCTAATATATTCAATGACAACTCCATATGCTCCTGGATACTTTTTTAAATTTTATTTTCTTGTAAAGATGCTGTTCAGAGAGGTTACAGTTATATCAGTAAGATAATGAGTACATTTCTTGTCAAGCATTGTTACCCCCACGTCTGTTTTTCTCCTACTATTCCTTCTCTCCACCACCTCCCCCAACTCCTCCCCCCCCCACAAAGTTGTAAAGTTCATTCCCAATATAGTGTCTTGTGAGTATCATTGTTGCAATGGGTTACCCTGTGTCTTTGTTTCAGTGTTTTGTTATTCCCTTTCCCCTCCCCAAATTAGATAAATGTATATACAAGATGCAAGATACCAAAACCAAATACATTGACAAGAGAGATATACCGAAGGAAGAAAAACATACAAAAGAAACAAAAAAATTGCATAGTACATTAAAAACAGCAATAACAAAGAAAAACCTCTTAGGTCCATATCTTGGGGTTCATTTCACTAGGCATCATCTTAAGGTCATATGGACTTAGCTTTTGAGCTTTTCTGCTCATCTGATAAGATTCTCCTAGACATATACTAATTATTGCAAATAAGGGAAACCATGGGACCTATATTTCTTTGGGTCTGGCTTACTTCACAATATGATTTTTTCCAAGTCTTTCCATTTCCTAACAAGTGGGGCAGTATCATTCTTTCTGATGGAAGCATAGAATTCCATTTTATATATATATAT